GAAGAACTCTTTGACTTGGATAATCTCGTTAGGGAAATTCAGGGAATTCCAAAGCAGGAGACTTCTCCCGACATAGCACTTCTTTCACGTTCAGAAATGCTTGCCTCGTCCGAGGCATTACAGGCCATAAAGGAAGAAGCAGACGGCTTAGGTAATGCGGGAGTCTGGGATCTCAGCACCGTGAGAGAGCAAGGAGAGGTCGCTGCTGAAGCGCGACGGACGCACACTAAAGTCCACTTCGGGCAACTAATGACTATCGCCTCCATCAAATTCTTTGAGCTAGCAAGGCATCTACAGAAAGTGAAGGGGCGTATAGTATACCGAGGGGACTGTGCGCGGGACGAATATGGGGCGGCGGCCGTTTATCAAGAACTCGGCGCCAACCCTACGTCCGTTCAGGGTTTGAACAACTGCCTTGCCTACGGCTCACTGCCAGGTCACAAAACCACGGCGGCAGACGCCGTAAAGGCATATATCCAGGCCCTACTTCGATCTCAACATCAGACGTGGATATCATTGCCGCCGGAACTTCGTCCGAAGTGGTGGAAAGAAAAGTTTATAAAACCGGTAGTCCTTCTAGTAAAAGCACTCTACGGTCACCCCGACGCGGGGGGGCTACGGGAGCAGCACTTCAAGAAGATCTTGAAGGAGCAGACCGGAGAGGAGATCCAAGAATTTCCAGGAAACTTTTACTTCCCCTCAACCGGCTTAATGCTATCCACTTATGTGGATGATCTAACACTTTCAGGGCCGGCAGAGCAGCATGATCCCTTTTGGGAAAAGCTGATGTCATGTGTTGATATTGAACCCCCAGAACCGATATATCGTGTTTTGGGAAGGAATCATGTCATCATTAACGCCCCGAAGTGCGAGCCTAATCCAGCCGAGAGCGCAGCCTTTGGCGCGCTGTCCAACGCAATGGCTTTTGATATGGTTGACTACGCCAAGCAAACTGTTGATCTATATGTCTCCATTTCAGGTCAGCCGATTAGTAAGCTCCGCAAGGCATTGACCCCATTCTGTCCAGAAGGGTCATTGCCAACACAAGATGATGCCGAAGCAGGTGAACTGAGCTCAGCCGCTTGTAAAATCTTGATGAAGGCCTTGTGGTTGGGACGTCTTGCACGTCCAGACATAATCAAGCCCATCGGGGATCTTGCAACGTGCGTTCAAAAATGGTCGCGTAATAATGATAGGCAGTTGGCTAGGCTAATAGCTTACATTAACACGACCACAACGCACAGGTTGGTTGGCACAGTTCAAGACGATCCCAGAGAGCTGCATTTTGCGCTCTACGTCGACGCTGACTTTGCAGGAGAGGAGGGGGCCAAGTCCACGTCAGGGGGGTTTCTCGCCCTGAAAGGTCCGAATTCCCACTTCCCCTTAGCATGGATTAGCAAGCGCCAGACTTCTGTGTCGCGTTCCACTACAGAAGCAGAGATTGTGTCGTTAGCATTTTCTTTGTATCAGGAGGGACTTCCGACACTTAGTCTGTGGGATCGACTATTGGGTCGCCCAATGACCCTCAGCATCCATGAAGACAATCAAGCTACTATTCTGGTTGCAAGGAAAGGGCACTCTTCGAAGTTGCGATCAATGTCTAGGACACATAGGGTTAACCTAGCATCCCTTGCAGAACAGTTACAGGAAGGCACTGGAGTAGAGCTTGAATATGTGAAGACCGATTTCCAAGCTGCCGATATCTTTACCAAGGCTTTGCCTCCACATAAGTGGGATCACGCCTTGAGGCTCCTGGGAATGCGCACAGACCTCCCAGAAGAGCTAGAAGATACTCGATTCAACATCAAAAAGTAGAAAGTCATTCCGAAAGCAGTGCTATGAGTACTAAAAGTGCCAAAATATCCTTCATCCTTTTAAAGCCTTGATGACCAGGGAGCAGCGTATCGCGCTCCAAAGCAAAAGCTTACCCTGCCTTAGTGCACACGGCGAGGGGGGAGTCAAGAAATAACGACCCCTTTGCCCCCAAAGGCATGGTAACTTGCCTAGTTGTGTGTTCACTGGCGTGAGGTTTGCATGAGGCCACTTTGGTTTAGGTTGAGGGTTGCATGACATGACAGACTTGTCAAACGGCAAACGCCGTTTGGCTCAAGCGTTCACTGAAAAAGGGCGCTGAGTGCGGAACTAGAGTTTAGAGACAACCCCCTGAACCGCTGAGGGATTAACCACGGTCAATCCACCTCTTTTTGTTCAGGGCGCAGCCTTCGGCGCGCGTTTGGGGTTTCTTGCTCTTTTGATTACTAGCATTTCCTGGATGCAAGCATGGCTCACCTCACTTGTAGCCACAATTTGCTTGGGTATGTTAAGAAGGTGAAAGCCTTAGGCAAAATTGGGTTATGTTCTCATAGTTCTGGTTTCACTGAATGAAAATATGAAGTTTGACAATAACAAAAGCAATTTGCTACATGATGTGAAATGACATGCTCGAGCAAGCCCAGATTTCAGTGGACAAAACCTGTAAATGTCCAGTGTTTTGTCAAACGGTAGGTTTTCTTTGAAATGGCCCACCAAATGCGTATGTATATACTTGTTGGGTTTTCAGAAACATGTGCTAGCCGTTCAACTTAAAGAGGGCGGGATTGAAACATATTTGGTCAAACCATGATGAAATACACAAACACATGGCAACATCCAAGGTTCAAGGTCCAGCAAGGTCTCCAACTGCGGACAGATTTCACCTTGCAGTTGAACTGAAACAAACCACTGGTTTCGGGTACACTTGAGGTTAACCAATCTTGGGGGAGGGAGCTTCTTTCGTGTTAGAGGTATAGGTAGCCCTAGGATGGTGCGAAGCATCCCTGCTCATTTGTTGCGGATGGTGTTGAGCTTGGGTTCAGCACATATGTAATCCTTGCCAAACAAGAAACAGCGCAGATGAGGTTGATGCGATTGGCATGTCTATCGGCCTGTGTTCTTCAGACTCAGCCACGTTCCCCGGTTTTAAGCTAGGAGCATCGCCAGATGTATGGCGCATATATCCATGGACTGGTGAACACAAACCGACAAACATAGCAAAAAAGCGCCAAAACAGTCTAGGGTATGGGGCTGAAGTAGAAATGCTCAAATGTGGGCGGATAGCTCCAAGCAGACCCAAAACACAGTCAGCTTAGCAATGCCTTGATTCCATGGCAGCGCTGGAAAACACACAGCAAAACATGTGCCAGAGGAAGGTCTATGTTTGGTTCCAGACTCCCTCTGAATGCCACCCCCTGGTCGATTCCCTTCATTTTCGGATTGCATTCGAGCTTTCCGGGGCTCGCCGCTTCAGGCCGGCAACAGCCGGGCCCTCGGGGTGAAGAAGTTTCCACTGATGTTGAATCACTTGTCTAGGGTCACTCGAATTGAAGTTAAAGAACGGTTTTTGGCAAAGCTGAAGCTGCAAAGGGTCGATCTTTTTGGATATCCCACTCAGACCAGGGGGCCTGCAGAGACGGAACACGGCGCGAAAGTCGAACATGGCACTTTCAATTGCCTTTTGGCTTCCTGGTGGTGCTTTGCATGCAGCGTTTGCTAGTGCGGAAAGCCTTCATTGTTTGCACACACCCATCCTCGTGCAAGAAGTGCAGGAGGCATGGAACAACAGGATTACACGGCATGCAAACACAAAAGCAAACACGCACATGCAGACAACGCCACAATCAGAGACACTGACATAGACACACAGGCCGACAGGCACACAGGTGCGCCGACACACACACACAGACACACACACACACAGACACAGACACAGACACACCGGCGCACCGACACACAGACAAACAGACAAACAGACAAACATACTCACAGACAGATACACACAGATGCACACAGACGTATCCGAAACAAAGCCTTCTAAGGCCACATAAGACACACACACACACATATTATTGTCATTCGTCGGCCCATGGTTGCCAAATGTGTCCTGCGTAAACTGCTTGCCTTTCGGATGGCCGGCGGCTGTGTGTCCAGTGAAGTCTGGCATTACTGCGGCGAGAACACGCGAAACTCTCGCACATGGCCATGGCTCATGGGGCTCGAAGACAGGAACGCCCAGATTTAGATACCCTCGCTGAATTCTTCTTATGCACAGGGCAGCAGTCCTGGAAAGCCGCCAAAGAGCAGGGTGGCGGCAATCTGGCTCTCAATAAAGTGTTCAGAGTCAATTACCTTTCAATCAGGCTCCCATCCGGTGGATCCACCTACAGTTCAACCCAAAGCAATCTTCCCATGGGCAACAGCTCTTGAATCTGGGTTACGCTGGTGCCCGTGTTTCCCTGGCCACTTTGGCCCCCCTAAGAGTCGCAATGGCGCTGGGGCCAGTTGCATGGCGGCACGCGTTTTCTTTGTTTGGTAGCGCCTCAGGCCGGAGTCGCCGGTTTGCCATTTCGCCGCTCAAGGCTTGGGGTTCTTCGACAACCTCAACCTTGGCCTCGGAGAGGCCGAGCAGGGGGCTGGGTGGGGGGGGGGGGTGGTGATGAACGAATGGCATAGAATGCATAGACATTCATGTATGCATGCATGCGCTATATTTCATGTTACTTATTGTGTTTCTTTACTATACGTTCTCACTTGAAGGCCAACGTTTTGACCTTTTAGTTTCCCCTGGTCGGTCGATTTTGGCCAAAAGGTAACCCTTTATTTCGGAGTCCTTTGGGCAACTGAGCATTGCATCAAATCTTCTGATCCAAGCAGAAGAGACAAAAAAAAAAAGGCGGCCCGTGCCTCGGGCGTACCGGGTCTGACCTGCCAAGAGTGTGTACATCATTTGTCTCAATTACCCAGTGCAGCTTAAGCTTTCACAACTGCCCAATACTTGTCCGCACCCATATAGAAGGGGGCCACAGACGGAGTTCCGCAAGCAACCAGCCTTTTTTCGCTCTGCACAGCTTCAGCTTCACCCTTTGTATTGAAAGGATACTCGATTGTTGGCGCGCCCCTGTGATTTGAACCGCCAGTGCGACAGCCACACCCTGTCTGTATGCCAGGGACTACTTCCCTATCGGATGACGCTGCCCGGCTACTTCAAAGAGTCGTCAGCGCCCAACTGCCAGAAAATTGTCGGATCGAGTTTGCCCCCTCCCTCTTCAGCTGGCTTTGAGCCATGACAGTTTAGAGCAAAAGCTGTGGCTCAACATGTGTTCGTTGAACGTTCCCTGAGGGTATCTGCTCAGGATGTATGTTGAGCCTTTTAAAAAGATTGACTCTCAAGCACCCGTTCTGAAACGGTACTGGGGACCCGTTGGCTTTGTTGGGAGAGCTTGCCCGTCTGAAAGTTGAAGTGCCAGTTAGACACGCATGCACCCGTCAGCCCAGGAAGCGCAGGCCTTCCTCTTGCAAACAAACCTTCTGAGCCCACTCCACGGGTCCACGGTTCAAATGTCTCAGACCGTGCGTTGTGAAAGTTGAGGCATGTTTGGGATACAATGGCCTGAACAATTAGTACGGGTTGGGGGACACTTGTTTAAATTAAAATTAAGACATGTTTGCAGGGAGGTCAATGGAGGCAGGAATGGGCTATGGGAAGAATAAACAAAGTAAACCAGCGTGTGCCAAGGAAGAATAATCCACGACTGCAAGTGGGAAAAAGCAGGCCCTTGAACAAGGAATATCAAGGACATGTCTTCATGGTCGCACATGACAGATAACAATATATTTTTGTTTACCCACCGTCAACAGGCAAGACTATGTGAAGACTAGAGAAAGACTGTACAACTTTGGGACGACTACTGTAAGGCTACTGGAAAGCTGCAGGAAGACTATGGGAATACTACTGGATTGCTACACGAAGACTGAGGGGAAGTACGGGGACACGACAACGGGAAGCCTGTGGGAAAGCGAGGGCAAGTTGGGTAGATGTACAGCTGAAAACACTGAAAGCGGATAGGCCGATGACGTTGGAAGCATAGGTGTGCTTTTTAGACTTTGGTTAGAAATAGATGGCACTTGTTTAGATTGTTGTTTTTGTTTCCATTTGCCAGGGCCATCAGTTTTTCCAAACGGACACGTGTGGGTGCAGCGCTTTCACCCCGCCCCCCCCCCCCCCTCGTGACCCCCCGGTTCTCGCTGAGGCTGGACTCGTTGCCCCGCACTCCGCGGGCCCGCACGGGCCCGGTGACGCCGCCCCGCTCGCCAAGAAAGACGGCGCTGCCGCAGATGATGGAGGCCTTGTACATGGACTCCCTGGCTACAGCTGCCCGGCGCACGGGAAACATGTTCTCTCGGCTATGGTTGGCTTTTGGCAGCATCAAAGTCCAACATGTTATTTAAGGGCTGCCGCCCTGTGCCGCCGGCCCCTGTGGATCTTGAAACGAATGCCCGAGAGATCCGAAAGCTCGCGCTCTGTTTTCAAAGCACAGCCTAGAGCACTCACCACATGTATACATATGGCTATGTTTGGGCGTGAAAACTGTAACACCCCGCCTGAGAAGAGTCCCAATGGGATGTCTTCTCCCTACAGTTTCACCCCGAGCTTCAATAGCACTACTGGCTACCGGCTCAAACTGCGATGACCAGGGATAGCGCAAAAACGTGCACTCTTTGGTTGATACACAACCCAAATTAGTACCACCGGGCTTACACCATGCCCTCCATGCCACTGTCTTCAGGCGGCTGAAAAAGCGATGCAGTCACCAAAGCCTTCGGGTGACTGCTTCCGTGTTGGCCCATTGCATCAGTATCATCTGAAGCAGGATACTGAAAAGTCCTGCGCCTTTGTCTCACTTCCTTTTCTTGTCAATTTCCTTCTTCTTCTTCCCATCGCCTTCACCGCCACTCACTGGTGATGATGACTACTATGATGATGATCAGGGTGATGATGATGACCATGAGGACGAGTGATGATGAAATGTAAATATAAAAGAAAAGAGATGATGACGACCATCATGATGATGAAGGGTGATGATGACCATCATCATAATGATGATAAGGGTGATGATAAGGATGAGGACTGTCATGATAACTATCATCGTAGCATCCTCTGCATTACCAATGCTGCCTAACTCTGTATAAATGAAAGAGATGATGATGGATGATGACCACCATGATGATGATGATGATGATGATGATGATGATGATGATGATAAGGGTGATGATGATGACCATGAGGATGGTGATAAGGATGATGACGGTGATGATAACTATCATCGTAGCATCCTCTGCATTACCAATGCTACGCATCTTCTGCATCTCAAACCGGATCTAGCGGGAAACTCGAAAAGTGTATCAACAAGAGATAAGGACGATGACGATAATGATGATGATGACGAGCACCATGATGATAATGTAAGTAAGGACGATGACGATGACGATGATGATGATGATGATGATGATGAGCAGCATGAGCTGATGATTACGTCTCGACCCAACTAACCTGGGGCAATGGCTTGAAGGCTACGCTGGTCGTGGATGGCATTTAGCAACACATAGCATATCGGAAGTGTTTCTACAGCTGAAGATCATTTTGGATAGCCGGAATACCAAGCTTTGATCCTCCGAGATGTGTAGCCACCCTTCCCGTGCGCCTCGCCCTTGCGGACAAGGGGTCGGCGGATTTTAGGTGTCCCCTGAAATTGGTCCATTTTTTCACGAAGAAGAACATGAAATAAGAGGGGTAGCCCTGGGATTCCGTTCGTAGTTCCACCTTCACTGTTTGTGGGGAAAGACAGGTTAAACTCACCGAGGTGGAGGCGGTCCTGCGGGAGGAGCCGGACAGTGCCTGGGAGCCGTTCTGGGACTACGACCAGGAGACCCCCCTGTGCTTCGCCGCCCGGCAGCTGTGCGACGTGAAGATCCTGGACCTGCCCCTCGACGCGAAACACCAAAGCCTTTCTTCCAACAAAAAGGATTAGAGGAGGGACCCCTGAAATTCCATGTGCTTCACAATCTTCTTTATTTTTTTGGTCTTACAGGGAATGTATCACCCCTGCGTTTTTTTCCAAGGGACTCAAAGTGGAGGTGTACGGACTGCACAGTAGAATTGGGGAACCCCCCTTTTTTGAAGGTAGCGGGGTTGGCCGAGCCCTTGTTTGAGCTTGTAGACGCCGCTATTGTTTTGAAGAGGTGGGTGAAGATCCTGGACCTTGATTATGCCTAGGTTTCAGTCCATGGCAACCAATGGCAACATATGATCTTGGGCTTTCAATCCATCAAGTTCTTCGGGCCCTGATGCCTCCTGATATAAACCTTCATTTCCTTGCTTTTTCCAAAGTGATAACCCCTTTCGCAGGCGTGGGGTTGGGCTTGGCTTCCAAAGAGTTAAAGGACGCCAAACCACTTTTTAGGTTTCTTTGCAGCGGCCTGTGGCTCTTGTGGGCTGCAAAGTGTCCCGATGCCATACAGCAAATCCGATGCGCAGTTTGTGCAGCCTTTGAATTTGTGTTTTGGTTGGCGTCCCCGGAAAGACATGCTGCATATTGTCAAAGCATGCCTTTTGGAGGACATCTTAGCTAGGCACTCCCACATCAAGGGGATCCTCGGTTGTTTATTTGACGGGAAGTTGACCAGTTGAGCCTTGATGTCTTCTGACATTGGGCTCTTTCGGTTGCGCGCCATTCCTAGCTATGGCTCACCAAGGGGACAACTTGTTTAATTCTCATTTTCAGGCCAATCCCCACTAGGCTGAGCAAGGCTCAACACACGGCCCACCTTGTTCCGCGTGTATCGTTGGATTCATGGGGTTTTCAAAGCACGGACTTGTGAACAACGCGACGGACAACGGCAAGGGCGTGCAAACGAGGGCAGACCTGAAAGAACGCGTCGGGTTCGACGCAAGTTCATCTCTGTTTCGAGACGATGGCGTGGTGTTTCAATTTCTCGGTTGTTCGGGTGCGAAACATCTAAGGAAGCCAAAAAGGAGCACTAGCTCGTTCATTTAATTTGCCTGAAAGGAAACCAAACGGAGCTGGGTACCTTTTCTACAAACACCTCACCCAGGGCTTGACTTGTCGAGGCTTCTTCAGCGAGGTGCCAAGGTGGACGTCGGCAACAGGGACGGCAGGAGCTCTAGCCGCGTTCCGGGCGCCGAAGTTGGGCGGGGCAAGCCCGACCTTGTAGTTCTGTGGTTCTTTCAGTTTGTTTTCAACGGGCGTGTGAGTGTCGCGGAGTGTGAGTGTCGCGGTGCTTTGGTGTCTCCGTGAATGATTGTGCTTATGTGTGTACTTCTGTGAGGGAGAGGGTGTTTGTGTGTATGTGTCCTTGTGCTTGTGCATGCGTGTGTGTGTGTGTGTGTGTGTGTGTGTGTGTGTGTGTGCTTGAATGTGTGTGTGTGTGTGCGCGTGTGCTTGAATGCGTGTGTGTTGTTTTGTTGCTGCTGTTGTTGTTGCTGCTGCTGCTGCTGCTGTTGTTGTTGTTGTTGTTGTTGTTGTTGTTGTTGTTGTTGTTGTTGTTGTTGGTGGTGGTGGTGGTGGTGGTGGTGGTGGCGTTGGCGTTGGCGTTCGCGCTCTCGTTCGCGTTCGCGTTGGCGTTGGCGTTGGCGTTGGCGTTGGCGTTCGCGGTTGTGGGTGTGGGTGTGGGTGTTGTGGGTGTTGTGGTGGTTGTTGTGGTGGTTGTTGTTGTTGTTGTTGTTGTTGTTGTTGTTGTTGTTGTTGTTGTTGTTGTTGTTGCTGTTGTTGTTGTTGTTGTTGTTGTTGCTGTTGCTGTTGCTGTTGCTGTTGCTGTTGCTGTTGCTGTTGCTGTTGCTGTTTGTTTGTTGTTGTTTGTTTGTTGATGTGATGTTGATGTTGTTGTTGTTGTTGTTGTTGTTGTTGTTGTTGTTGTTGTTGTTGTTGTTGTTGCTGTTGTTGTTGTTGTTGTTGTTGTTGTTGTTGTTGTTGTTGTTGTTGTTGTTGTTGTTGTTGTTGTTGTTGTTGTTGTTGTTGTTGTTGTTGTTGTTGTTGTTGTGCTTTTGTCGTTGTCGTTGTTGTTGCTGCTGCTGCTGCTGTGCTGCTGCTGCTGCTGCTGTTGGTGTTGTTGTTGTTGTTGTTGTTGTTGTTGTTGTTGTTGTTGTTGTTGTTGTTGTTGTTGTTGT